AGCAGATGGGGCACTTGCCTTGCACGTGGCCAACCTGGGTTCAATCCTCAGCATCCTTTATTGTTCTCCAATGACAGGAGTGATCCTTAAGCACAGAGCCAGGAGTCAGCCCTGAGCGTGGCCAGCTGTGGCCCCCAAGCCAAATCAAAACAAATCAATTCACAAGAAACCCTATAAAGTTAGCTAAAGCCCTTGTCTAAATAGGCATCTTTGAGGCTCAGAGAGACCAAGGAACTTGCTCAAAGTCACATAGCAAGTGAACGGGGAGACAGGGTTCCCGTCCTTGCCAGCAGATTACCAAAAGTCACACCAAAAGTCTGTGCTGCTTCCATCAGGCCACACTGCCTCTCCCCTGGAACTCACCCCTGCAGCTGTGGGGAGGAGCGGGCAGGGAGCCAGGGACGATATAGCTACAGAGTCCAGCCCAGGGTACTTTGGGACCTAGTCTGTCTGTCTGTCTGTCTGTCTGTCTGTCTGTCTGTCTCTCTCTCTCTCACACACACACACACACTAATTGAGATGTCAACCTTCTGCCTTCCTTCCCAGCAGCCTGGGAGCCCTGGCACTGCAGGGCTGGCAGCAGAGACGGCAGATGCCCCCCAGGTCTCCTGGGGCGGCAGATGGAAGCATGTTCTCTGTCTGCCTCTCGCCTCTGTCTTCCACCCGCCTCTCTGCCCTCCAGGCCCTCCCTTTCTCTCTCCCTCAGTCTCCTGCGTGGAGAGGAAACGGCCAGTTCATCTTGCTGCCAGCTACCCGGCTCCACTAAGCAGCCTACGGGCTGTGGGTACAAGCCCCGCCTTTCTGCCCCCCCACCACCACGATGGTCTGAGCTTCCCCGGGAGCCGGGCCCAGTGGGTATGCACTCAGGAAAGTTCTTCCAGAGGCTGAGCGCTCTGAAGCAGCAGTTCTGCCAAGCCAGGTCCAAGCCAGATTTTCCCCTGCTGCATCTGTCACCAGGGAGACCAGGGGGAGGTGATCTGGCACTCAGGAAGCGGCACTCAGACCTGCTGCTTCTACCATCCTTGCTGGGCGGGCTGAATAGAGAGCTTTTCCACCCCAGTCATACACACCGAGCGCTGGAGGATCTCTGATTCATGGGCTCCGCTGGCTTTATCTCCGTCACTTTACATAAATAGCTTACATAAAGACAGATCGTGCAGGGCCCTCATCCTAGGACCAACGCCGGACACCTGCTTCCTCCACTGGGGCACGCTCCAGAGAAGCAAAGCCTCAATGAGATGCCTGCATGCTAAGTCACAGCTAAAACCAAGCATCGGCGAGCCTTGCGAATGAATGCACACGCGTCCTATCTCTGAACCTCAGTTTCCATGGAAGAAAAATGGGTTTAATCAGTTTTTTTTGTTGTTGTTCTAACCTAGCCTATAGGATCCTTGAGAGACTAGTGGGATGAAATTTTAATTTTGTGAATGTGCTTTGCAGCCGGAGAAGCACTTTATTACACCAAAGTAATGTTATTGCTGCTAAAATGAAGCTACAGTTGGCCAGGGAAATTACCCCCTTCAAATAAGAAGTTCTGTGAAAATCCAATTTTCACGAATTGGGTTGGCTAGAACATAGATTACACTTCATTGTTTTTGGAATCCAGGCTGGCAGAGGTGGCGTCGAACTAAGCCTTCAGGGGCCTGGGGACCACTCTGGGGCAGCCGCTGGCTATGATGTGTTCATCACAGAATGCCACATCCGGGCTGATGATGCCAATTAAGATCTCATCTCAGGGCCCCGGTTAACCTCAAGACCTCAGTGCAGAGGACCTTGGAGAAAGCTGAAACAAGAGCATGGCAATGAAGGGGACTCTGCTCCGGTCTCCCCGTGCATCTTGGCCTATTCTCCATCCCAGACATTTGGGGAGTTGGAGGGCCAGACAGACATGTGCGTGGGGGTTCCCACCCCCGGGAGAAGCAGCCTCCTGCAGAGAGCTTTCCTCCTTGTATGCAACATTTTGAAGCAGAACAGAATGATGGCTACTTGGAAGGGAATTTATTTCACTTAAATAACACCACCGAACTGCAAGACGCCTGGCCCAGCTCTCTCCACAGGCAGTGCTCAGAGGCTGCCAGGAACCTTTACGGGCTCCTGCCCCTTTGGGACTGCCTGCAGGTCCAGACATCGCTTAACTGCAAGAATAGAGGCCAGAAGCCGAGCAATAGTACAGGGATTCAGGCGCTTGCCTTGCATGAGGCCGACCTGGGTTCGATTCCCTGCATCCTAAATGGTCCACCAGGAGCAATCCTTGAGTGCAAAGCCGGGAGTAAGTCCTGAGCACCGCCAGGTATGGCCCCCGAACAAACAAACAAACAAACAAAAAGAATATAGGCTAAGAGGAGTGGAGATTGTGGCTTACAAATTTTTTCTGTTGCTATTTATGGAGGAGAGGATGACAGTTGGGGAGGAAGGAGACAGAATACATGACTGATGGCACATGTATTTGAAGAGAACACTTTGAAGGACCTTGGACCAAATACAGCCATCCTTGCAGGGGAGACCAGGGCCAATCACCTGTTGCTGTGCTTTGTCTCCTGCAGGCGAATCACCTGTCAGGAGCTGTGGAGGGGACCCACAAGTCTTTCCAACCTAGAAGCATTCTCTTGGCTGAGTAGGAAAGGGGAGTCATTCTGGTAACCAAAGAGAAGAGCCCAGGAGAGAGCCAGGAGAAGCCAGTGTTGTGGGAAAGGGGGGTTCAGTGACACAGCCCTCTCTGATCGCCCTCATCCCAAGGGTCCATCCTCACCCCGGCTTGTGGAAACCCCGAGAGTAGCGAGGGTAACTGACCTACTCAAAGACCTACAGCTGGTCGAGTGGCCAACAAGTATTGATGCTTTGGCTGTTCTCTGAGACCAGTATCAAAGTGCCGTTTCCCAACCAACCTCCATCTTGGTCTTTCAGGGCCGAGCACCAGTTTTGGGGGGTGGTTGGGAGGGACGAACAAAAGAACACGTGGCCGCACTTCCTCTGGCTGGAGGTTGGCTGGGGAGTACCAGCTTGGGGTGTGAGCTGCTGTCACGGCTAAGCCCACCCTCTGGCCCAAGTGCGTTTGCAGGACCAGCTCTCAGGCTCTCTCTGCCGCAACACTCCCATCCCCCGGGCGTCTGCCCACGTCCTTAGCTTCCCTCCCTCTCCCTCTCCTCTCGCACACAATGTCAGACACACACCTTCCCACTACACACCCATATGCCAAATAAAATTAGAAATACCAGCCTGGCTCTCAAGGTATTTAAGGAACAGGGATCTTCAATTGATCGGGCCCCCCAACGCACACTCCAGGCTCCCTCTCTCTCGGCCTAGGGCGAGGGGCAGGCAGAGCTTGAGAAAAGGGTCCTGCAGCCCCGATCTGGACACTGGAAAGAGCTCCCAAGAGGGAAAGGACCCTCTGAGCCCTTGGGAGCCTGCCTCTAGCCACAGGAACTCACCCGACTTGCAGGCCCTACCAGGCCCACACCTGGCATGCTCTCTCTTGCAGAGATGGAAGACCCTTTTGTGACCTGCAAGGCTTTTCTGGTCCCTTCGCTTGCTGGCGCACATTGATGACATACAGAGACGCCGGTGTCTGAAGATTCAGAGCCCTGGAGGAGTGGAGCCGCATCCCGCCCTGATACTGTAAGAGATGCTCTGTTTTAGTCCTCCCATTGAGAAAGCAATCATTGTTCCTCCTGGATTGTGTTTGCCTTAATGCAGAGAAGAGGGACCCGCCCGAGAGGGAGGATGCAGGCTGTCAGCCCCCACATTCCTGCAGGGTTCCTCAGGCTCCGAGATGCCCTCCCGCCATTGGACACCTGTTGGCCAGGTATCCCCACACTCTGGGGCCTCTTGCCCCAGAGGATGCATCATATGGGGAGGGGTGGGGAAGGAAATAGGATCAGAGGGGGTGGGGTGGGGTGGGGCAGAAGTTCTGGGCCAGCATAACCCCCCTTATCTTCCCCTCTTCTGAATCAGAGAACCCCCACCCTCCTCTCCTGTTTATCAGGGTGAATCTCTTTCATTCATTGGCTCCCAGCTGGGCTCTGTCACTTAACGGCCATGTGACCTTTGACGCACTGCAACCTCCTGCTCCTGGGTGGGGGGTGGGGGGGGGGTGTCGGGGGCTCACTGAGCTGCTGCAAAGAGTCGCCCTCCGAGCATGCCAAGTGGGGCAAGAATTAGGAGCTCCTGACTCCAGATCCTGGCCCCTCTACCCCACTGTCCGGGAGCGCCTCTCTGCTTTGCAAGGACTATCCCAGGTGGTGGCTTTAGGTGTTGTTTAGGGGCCTTAAGGGTGGCACTTCTCAACCCTCTAGACACTAGGACGCTGATGCTTATGGGTGTTGCCCCCCCCCCCCAACCCGGCACGCTGACCTCTCGCCGTCCCCCTCCCCCGACTTCCCTGGGTCTGAGCCCAGCTGAGCGGCAGAGTGGGCGTCAGTCCAGCGGGGAGGGAGGGGGCAGACAGGCCTACAGCATCCCCACGGGGGGGTGGGGTCCAGATCCCCCCCCACGGGACCGAAGCCCGCCGCCCAAGTCAGACGGGTCATCCCCCCAACCCCACCCCCTTGCAAGCCCCAGCGGGGACGAAAGCTGGGGTGGGCGCGCACAAGTCCACCACGATGCAGGCTGCGGTGAGGGTGGCCAGAGCGCCGCCCCCAGGAGGGGAGGGAGAGATGCCGGGGCTGGGTGTGGGGAGGGGGGGGTTGCCCAGCTGCCTTCCCCGCCGGCCCAGTGGGAGGACGGCAGCTGCCCGCTCCCTCCTCCCCACACCCCCGCTACCTGCCCAGTCCCCGAAGCCAGGCGGGCGGAGGCTGCGAGGCGGCGGGGCCGCGCGCACAACTTTGCAGCCCCCGGCAGGGAGGCGGGAGCGGGCGGCCGGGGCTCCTGTCGCGGGAGACCCCAGCGCGGTGAGTGCCTCTCCCCACCCCTCTGCGGCGGTGCGGCGGCGGCGGCGGCGGCCGCCTGGGGGCCGCTGCCCGGGAGCCCGGGAGGCGGTGTCCGAAGCCCCGGCGGCGGCGGGCTGCCCGCGGGTCCCTTCCTCGGGCGGGCGCAGGGCCCGGCTGCCAGCGCCGCCCGCCCCGCGCCCGGCGCCCCGCGCCCCGCGCTCCCCCAGCCTCGCCTTCCCGGCGCCGCGGCGCATCTGGAGCTGCTCCCGCGCCCCCCTGGCGACCGGCGCGGGGAAGGCACTGGCTTCGCCCGAGCCCGGGGCCGGCATCTCGCTGGGGTGGGCAGCGTCGCCGCAGACCCCAGGGACGCAGGACCCGGGCGAGCGGGGGTCGCCACCGCCACCCGGGCGCCCAGCCCGGGCCGTGCCCAGCGCGGGATCCCTGCGGCGGAGACAGGCCCGCGCTCCACCCGCAGCCGCGGGTCCCTGGGGGCACTGGCACCTGCAAAGGGGACTCCAAGGTGATCAGCCGCCCCATCGGGCCCGGACAGCGGGGATACAGAGGCCCCGTGGCCCTCGCCCGGGCCGGGTGCGGCCGCCTAACCACAACTTTCTGGCGCCGCGGGCTCGCCGACTCCCCAGCCCCGGGAAAAGTTCTCCCCGGCGCCGGGACCCTGCTTTGCCCAAGGTTTGGAGGTGGCCGGGGGCGCCACAGAGATGCGGCGGGGGCGGAGGGGGGCTGGGAGGTGGTCTCGCAGCCCCCTGGGGCCCGCTGAGCGGCTGGAGAGGGCTCGGGCGGGCGCCCATTGGGCTGGTTGGGGGGTTCTCGCTCCTGGGGGGCGGGGCGAGGCGGGGGCGCGGGGGTAATGTCGCTGCCTCGCGCGTGGAAACGCTCTTTGCAATGAAATAGCCAGGACAGTCAGCGTGGGGCGGGACAATGGGTGAGGCGGGACCGGTGGGCACAGGTATTCCGACTGCGCCCCCTCACCCATCCCAGGCTTGAGAGCATCAATCGTCTCCGTTGGGCTCGCTCTCGCTCTCCCTCTCTCCTGCTGGCATCGGTTGCGTGTGTACAGAGAAATACACATGCACACAGATACCCAAGGAGCACAGAGAATGCACACACAACACACAGACGCACACACTCCCATCACACCCGGATCTACACCGCCTACCTCCAGCGTTGGGTTATCACTGAGGTTCTCGAGGGAAGGGACCTTTTCCCCCCAGGGAGGAAAAGCAGGAATTGTTGCAGGTCGTTCCTCTCTGCCCCCCACCCCCACCCCAGTCCTCCCGCTTCTCCTAAGGAGACACCCCCTGAGCTCTTTGCATGGCCAAAATACCTCAGTGCAGCCACCACCGCCTCCCGTACAGAGGACCACCGACCCCTCCCAAGGCTGAGCCCCAGGGGCGCCGGCACAATGCAGCTGGCTCCAAACCCGAGGGGGCGGGCACCTCTCCAAAGGCCTGGCCCCCATGAGGGTGGGGGGGCAGCGGGGTGGGGCGGGGTCTCACTCCGGTGAGGTCCGGGGTTAGGGAGGAGGGGAGGGCTGAAGGCAGGGACCAGGGTCGGGGCGCTGGTCCCACAGGGCTGGATGGAGGCGCGCCCTGCCCCCGCCCCTCCTGCCCACCCCTTCCTCTCTCTCTTTCTTTCTCTCTTTCCCTCTCCCTCATCTCTCTCTCTCTCTCTCTCTCTCTCTCTCTCTCTCTCTCTCTCTCTCTCTCTCTCTCTCTCTCTCTCTCTCCTCTCTCCCTTCAGGAATGTAATCCAGGATGCTGGCCCTGCGGTTGCTGAACGTGGTGGCCCCCGCCTACTTCCTGTGCATCTCCCTGGTGACCTTCGTGCTGCAGCTCTTTCTCTTCCTGCCCAGCATGCGCCAGGACCCCGCGGCCGCCCGCCTCTTCTCGCCTGCGCTGCTCCACGGGGCGCTCTTCCTCTTCCTCTCCACCAATGCCTTGGGCAATTACGTCCTGGTCATCCAGAACTCCCCGGACGACCTGGACGCCTGCCGCAGGGCTCCGTGCCCCGCGCCCAGCACCCACTTCTGCCGAGTGTGCGGCCGAGTGACCCTGAGACATGACCACCACTGCTTCTTCACCGGGAACTGCATTGGCAGCAGGAACATGCGCAACTTCGTCCTCTTCTGCCTCTACACCTCCCTGGCCTGTCTCTACTCCATGGTGGCCGGTGTGGCCTACATCTCTGCGGTCCTGTCCATCTCCTTCGCCAACCCCCTGGCCTTCCTCACGCTCCTTCCCACCGCCATCAGTCAGTTCTTATCTGGTGAGTGGATGATGACCGGCGTCACAAAGACACCACACACACAAAGACACCACATACACACACACACACACACACACACACACACACACACACACACCAGTCCCCAGATTGCCAGGTTTAGCCAACAAAAATATGTAAGTCCAGTTAAATACGGCTGTCACATCAACTTTTTAGCATAAGTATGTCCTTAATATACATGTGACAAATGGAATTTGCTCCTGTCTGGAATTCAAAAAAAGTGGTTAGGGCCAGAGAGATAGTCCCTCCCTCCCTCAGGGAAGGTGCTTACCTTGCATACAGGTTTGATCCCCAGCACTGGATGTAGTCCCCTGAGCCCCACCAGGAGTGATCCCTGAGCACAGAGCCAGAGTAAACCCTGAGCATTATCAGGTGCGCCCTGCCCCCACCCACCCAATAATAAATAACTGGGCATGCTGTGTCTTCTCTGGATACTAGCTTTTCTCCACTCCCATTCTGTCCCAACTGCCGCTTTACTCATAGAATTGTGGCTGTCCCCATGCTCTGTGCCAGGCAAGGCTGGTTGCAAGTCATCCCTCCACACAGCCTTCAAGGGAACGCATGGGATGACCCTCCTCTGCCCAGTCCCCAAGCCTGCTCACATACGCCCCCAAGAAATTCGCCCTCCAAAGGTGTAGCCAGCCAGTCACACTGGGGTCCACCCTACTTTCCTGCTCCCTGCCTAGGGCCCCAGTTTGCTCTTTTCCTGCCTGGTGGAGCAGGGCAGGGACACAGTGTAAGCAGCTGTGGGCCCTCCTGGAGGGTCCTACATCCTAGCAGCCAGGCACAGGGCCCTGGACCCCAGAGCTCAGCCCGGTAGAACTGTTTTCTACCATTTAGCTAATGCCACCCAACCATGTTACCCTCCACTCTGTCTTTTCCCTGGCCGAGGGCTCTGGATGATCTGATTCTTGCTATTGCTAGCTACATGCAATTGTTCTCTCCATCTCTCTGATAAAAAAAAAAAGAAAAAGAAAAAAAGGATGCCCAGATCCTGTATGTGCATGTACACATACATACATGCGGTGCCCAGGACTGAACCCAGGACATATGGGTGCCAAGGCATGTGCTTTACTGTTGATCCACTTCCGGGTTCATCAACTCTCCATGACCAAGTGTCGGTCTCTGAGCTGCCCCGACACCCCAGCAGCAGAGGGATGAGGTCAAGGGCCTCCTGGAGCCTTGACCTTTCAGGAAAGAGCGTGGCTTCCCCCTAGACAACCAGGCTGTCTCCTTGCTCTGGGGCTGGACATTCACACAAAAACCTGGGTGTCCATCCCAGGATGGCATGGCCTCCCAGATGGCAGCGGAACACAGAGGTCCAAGATGGAAGCAGCTTGGGGTGTTTGTCTGAAGAGCTGGTGACTGAGCTGGGCCCAGAACTCAGTTCTCAGGGGGGCCTCCTGGATCTGGGCGCTGGCTTACCAGGCTGTTGAGGACAGAAATAACCCGGACGGGGGAGGGGTGGGCGGGCAGGGGGGGCGGAGTGTGAGCGCGGGCAGGTGGAGGGCTGAGGAGTGCCAGCAAGCCTGTTACACTTCCTTCTCCAAGCGCTTTCCTCACATGGAAATGGATGGCTGCCCCCGGAGGCTCGTGCGATGGTTTGGTGTGAGATGAGCTGGGCTTGAGGCTGGTCCATATGTTCAAGGTTTGGGAGACAGGGAGGGGAGGAAGAGGAGCCTGTGGTGCGGCTCTAGCAGGCAGACAGAGCCAGTCAGTATCTGCCTGAGGGGCTCAGAGTCCCTGGGGTCCCCACTGCCTTTTCCTTCTTCCCATGGCTGCTGGACATAGGAAGCTGAGAAGTCTCCTCCCAGCCCCCTTTGCCAGCCTTTCATTCCGTTGCTCTCTCTCCTTCCTGCACACACAGCTCAGTCCAGCCCCCTCTTGCTGCCTCTCCATCCCAACAGGTGAGGCTGAGCCCTCTCTCATTTGCATAGAACAACAGGTGGACAGAAGGCTTTTGGCACATTGAGTTGTCCCAACTGTGGCACAGTCCCTGAGCCCTCTGGCCCCACCAGAGTGCAGGATGGCTGTGCGTGGGGGAGAGGGGGGCGCTGAATGCTGGAAGTGGGGGTCTTCCAAAGGGGTGGGGGTCTTTGACCCCAGGCATGCTACTCTGCTGTGGCAGAGGTCAGGACTGGCTGTGAGAGGTCAGAAAAGGAGGCCTTGCGGGGCTGGAGCGCTAGTACAGCAGGTAGCATGTTTGCCTTGCATGTAGCTGACCCGGATTCGATCCCTGGCATCCCATATGGTCCCGCGAGCACTGCCAGGAGTAATTCCTGAATGCAGAGACAGGAGTAATCCCTGAGCATTGCTGGGTGTGACCAAAAAAAAAAAAAAAAGCGAGAGAAAAAAATAAAAAGGAGGCCTTGATTCTAGTTTAGTGAGACCAGCTCAGGTGGTATCACCCCCCTGAGTTTCTCCTCATCTGGGAAGTAGAGTTGAACCCAGGGGAGCTGTGCCATGGGGTCTTACAAGAAAATGGGGAGGGGGACTAAAGTGATAGCACAGCAGGTAGGGCATTTGCCTTGCACGTGGCCGACCAGGTTCGATTCCCAGCATTCCATATGGTCCGCCGAGTAGCACTGCCAAGAGTAATTCCTGAGTGCATGAGCCAGGAGTAGCCCCTGTGCATCACTGGGTGTGACCCAAAAAGAAAAATAGGGGGGGAGGGGGACCACACATAGTCCTAGAACATGCCGGCATGTGTGTGAGGCAGGTAGGCATTATATCCCATTATATACAGGTCAAAGATCCCGTGGCTGCAAAACCCTCTCAGGTGGCAGGAAATCTGCCTAAGATTGGGTAGAGGAGGGCTGTCAGACCCCAGCGCTCCCACCACGCCTCCCCAGAGTGGCCTCTCTGCAGCTCTGCCTGGGGAGTGAGCCCCTCCCGAGGGCAAAGGTACTTGTCCCTGGATGGCCATTCTCAATGCCAGCCACATGTCAAAGGGTTCCAAAGGCGCTCACTTGGGCGGGAGCCTGGGGCGGGGGGGGGGGGGGGGCGTTAGACGGTGAGAACTTTGGGGCCCTATGGGAAAATTCTGTGATTTTTTTTTCCAAAAGCAGCAGAACTATTATTAAACAGATCAGAGGAGCGGAGGCAGCCCAGCGAGGCAACTTCAAACAGCCCCAGAGAAAGCAGGTCCCCAGAATAGCCTTTGGAAACTGCTGCCTGGGGCCAGGCAGAGGCCAGCAGGCCCCTCGCCTCACGCCTTGGTTTTGTGCAGCCAACACCCTCCGCCCAGACTTGTCCCTGCGTCTACATTGCAGGGCAGGCCTGAGCTTGGGCACTGATGTCCTCACCTCTGCGCTCCAGGGCCATCTGCCCGGCAGCAGTTCTCCAGCCCGGGGGGCACCATGGTCTGATCTCAGGTGCCACGTGTGCCCGCATGCACCCCGTGGCACCAGAGCTCTCGGAAGAAGTGGGTCAGAGAGATGGCACCATCCCATCTACCGCGTCCCCTCCCCCCTCCGTGCCAGATGGAGTGAATCTCCTATCCGCTGGGCAGCTGGACTTCCTTGTCTTGGACTTTGCAGAGAGAAACCTGCTCTGAAATATCAACGTTCTTTCGGCTGGGGCTGGAGAGATAGGACAGCAGCTAGGGTGCTAGCCTTGCACTTGGTCGACCCCAGTTCAGTCCCCGGCACCCCCATAGGATCCCCTGAGCACTACCAGGAGTGTTCCCTGGGTTCAGAACCAGGAGCAAGCCCTGAATGTCACTTAGTGTGCCATGCACCCCCCCCCCCAAAAAGAGATCCTTTGACTAAGAGTCAGAGAAGTCAGATCCTTTGACTAAGAAGTCAGATTTGTTAGTGAGCAAATCTGGGTGGGGGCTGCGTGTTTACCCATGATATGTGTTTGCTTAGGGGCCACACTCAGCTGTGTTCAGGGCTTACTCCTGGCTCTGTGCTCAAGGAGCTCCCCTAGGGGGACCATATGGGGATCGAACCTGGGTCAAGCCGTGCACCCTTCCTGCTGTGCTATCTCTCCAACCCTGGCTGATCATGGTAAAAGGCCCATCCCTGGGAGGATGGAAAGTGGAGTGTGAGAGATCAAGAAGAGGGGGGGCTGGGGTACCCGAGGGATATGGATCAGGAGGACAAGGGGCATGGTTGAGAGTGTGGTGACAGAATAGGGCATCTCTGGGGGAGGTCCCGGTCTCTTGCCTGCTAGAGTGGAGCTGAGGAGGGTCTGTGAGTTCTCTCCATCCCCATATCCCCACGGCCCAGCTGGAATCACAGTACGGCCAGGACACAAGCCCAGGAGAGGAGTCAGCAATGACTTGAGGGTCTTAGGAGTCAAAGGGGAGTGGTTCTGGGTGTGTGGGGAGAGTGTGCTCAGCACAGAGTGAGGCATTATTGCAGCCCCAACTCTGTCCCATCACAAAGCCTCCTTGGATTTGGTCACGCAGCCTGGGATCCAGTTAGTCCATTAGGGGTCACATTAGCCCCATTTTACAGATGAGCAAAATGCAGCTCAGAGAGCTTGAGAAGCGCATGTGAGCCTGCACAGCTGAGATTCCCATCCAGCTCAGACGAGCCGTCACCCCTCCAAATCCAAAGAAAAGTGGCGTCTTTCACTCTATGGGTGCTGATTGGTGTGCTTGGTTTGGGTTTGAAGCCACCCCCGACAGTGTTCAGGGCTTACTACCTGGCTCTGTGCTCAAGGATCACTCTTGGTGGGGTTCAGGGGACCATATGCCTGGGGATTGAGGCCAGATGGGCTGAATGCAAGGCAGCACCTGTCCCCTATTCTGTCTCCCCCAGCCCCTCTGGGGTGTTGAAACTCAGAAACAAGGAGCCCAGAGAGATAGGACAGCAGGTAAGGTAATTGCCTTGCATGCAGCCAACCGGGGTTCGATCCCTGGCATCCCATAGGGTCCCCCAAGCATGACCAGGAGTGATTCCTGAGTGCAAATCCAGGGGTTACCCCCTGAGCATCACCAGTTGTAGCCCCTAAAGAAAAAATGAAAAAAAAAGCCGGGAATAGGATGCTCTGACTTTGAAGGTCTCTGAGGAGGAGGGTTCTCGAGACAGGGGCACGGGGTGGGGTTGGGACTGACGATGGGGATGGAGGTATGGGAAGTCCTGCCCAGCCTCTCTGGTTCCTGCGGGGACACCGTCCTTTTGCTCACATAAATGACTGCCGCCCTGAGAGCTCGTGACTTCCTGATGACTTTTGGCTCTCCATCAGGCTGTCACGAGCAGGAGTCCTCCCCGCCAATGATCCCCGTTGCATAAGCGAGGAGGCAGCTGCTCGGGTCCTCAGCTCACCCCTGTTTCCTCCTGAGAAACCCCCCTTTGCTGTGCTTCCAGCCCCCCTCCCAGGGAAACCAAAGGGGTGGGCGCTTCTGAGTCTCAGGAAAACAGTGCCGAGGAAGTGACCAGCGAGGCCTCCTCCCTTCTTCCCTGGTGCCCTGCTCTTCCCCTCCAGCCTCAGGAGCTGTCAGCACGGAGGAAAAGTTAGGGTCTCCATCTGCATCCTGGCTCCCACCTGCCTTCCCCCCAACCCCCATCACAGCAGACAGACGGACAGACAGACAGACCCCGCTGCACAGGACGGGAGGGCTCGGGTATCCAGTGAGCCCGGTGTTTCCCCCGCCCCGCCCCGCAGGCGCTGTCCTCGGTTCTGAAATGTTCGTCATCCTCATGCTCTACCTCTGGTTTGCCATCGGCCTGGCCTGCGCCGGCTTCTGCTGCCACCAGCTGCTGCTGATCCTCCGCGGCCAGACGCGGCACCAGCTGCGGAAGGGGCTGGCCGTGCGCGCCCGGCCCTGGCGCAAGAACTTGCAGGAGGTCTTCGGCAAGAGGTGGCTGCTGGGGCTGTTGGTGCCCACGTTCAACGTCGGCGGGGAGAGTGCCAAGCAGAGGGACAAGTAACAATCCTTTGTGTGCGCCCATTCCTCCTGAGTGCCGGCCTGCTCTCCCTCCCGCCTCACGGGACCCCGGGCTGCGAGGCTTCCCACCGCCCGCCCTGGAGAACAGAGCTGGCCAGGAGAGAAGAAGCCCCCCACCCCTCTGCCCCAGGCACCGCTAGCTAGGCTGCTGCTGCCTCCCACAAAAGGCCTTTGTCTCCGGTTTCTTCCTCCCCTGTCTGCCCGCCCCTCTGTTTCCATCACTGCTCTCTGCTCCAGCCCCCTACAAGGGCCCCTTTGGGTGCAGGGACAGACTCTTGAGGCTGGAATGGTGCCCCCCTCCCCCAGGACCTGGAGGATGGCTGAGGTTTCGAGTGCCCCGTCGTCGTCAGAGAGGCAGCCCTGCTGCAGGGGAGCATGGAGGGGGTCCCCTCTCTGGACCTGGGGCAGGAGAGTGAGGCACAGCCTATGCCCAGCTGCTGCCCCCCCGCCCCACCCCCACCCCATTGCGCATAGCCCTGGGATGTCCAGTGCTGTCCCCTGGCCACGCTGTCCCTGCAGGCCCTTAATTCATGCCAGGGCCTGGCTGAACAACAACCTTCCTCTGGCACCCACCCAGCCTTCCCTGCTCTGGCCGGTAGGTCTTTGCTGGATGCTGGGGTGGATGGGAAGAGGAAAAGTGGAGCCAATGGTGATGGAGCAGGCAAGAAAGGGTGAGGGGAGAGAAGGGAGAGGGGTGGGAGATGGGCAGAGGGGGAGGAAGAGAGGAAGGGGAGGGGACAGGAGGAGGAAAGGAGAGGAGGGGGAGGGGAGGGGAGGGGGACAGAAGAAGAGGGACAGAGAGGCAGAGAGGGAAGAAGGGAAGGGGGAGGGAGTGAAGGGTAGAGAGAGGAGAGAGAAGGAGAGGAGGGGGGAGAAGAGGAGAGAACAGAGTTGGGAGAGGAGGAGAGAACAGAGTTGGGAGAGGAGGAGAGAAAGGGGAGAAGAGAGGAAGAGGTGAAGGGGGAGAGGAGAAGAGAGAAGGGATCGGCCAGAGGGAGCGGGTCCTGGGGGGAGTGGAGGCTGCTTAGGGAAGGAAGTAGCGAGGGGCGGCCCAGAGCCTGGGCGCGGGGCCATGGAGGGCTGAGGATGAGAGGCTCCTGGGTGCACTTCTGCCCCTCTAAAGGGCTCTTCACTCCCACGCTCCCTGCAGACAGCTAAGAGGGGCAGAATACAGCCCCCAGTGCTATCCAGAAGTGGCGGGGCGCATACGGGGTCAGGCCAGGCTCCCTCCTCTGCCCGCGATGACCAGGCCCTGCCCTCTCCTTTCCGAGGGTGGGGCTGAAGGTGGGCTGAGGTGGAGGAGCAGGCTGGGTGCTGGGGCCCTGGTGGGGAAGTCCTGGCAGGACGGGGTGTGCATCGGACCGTCTCTCCGCCAGGGTCCACACCTGGGGCATATGAAGGAGTGGGGAGCACAAGCGCGCCCCCTCCCGACTGGGCCAAGGGGCTGTCTGACGCCCACCTGGGCTGAGGGCTGAGGCCCAGACCCGAGGTCCTGTGAGCAGCACAGGGACCCCAAAGCAGTCGCAAACCTCACCCCGAGTTCTTGAGCAGAGCTCGGTCCTGCCTCCATGCCCCTAGATGACTGAAGTCCACCGCACACCCCATAACCTGCACGCCCACCCCATAACCCCACCCTGAACCCCCTACCCCATAATCCCACCCTGTACCCCAACCCCATATTCCCACCCTGCACCCCAACCCCATAATCTCACGCAACACACCCACCTCACACCACCACACAGCCCCACCTTATAATCCCACTCCACACCCCCAGCCCACACCCAATTCTCTCATCAGGCGCCAAATTATACTCCTGGGCCCCACGGCCCCCAGGCCTTCCGGGCACATGGCAGTGAACACTACACAAGACAAGCTTGCCACTGACCTGCCCCCCATCCCACCCCAGATGCTGCCTTCTTGGTGGCCCAGGGTCACATGGAAGAGAAACCCAGGTCTCCTGCATGGAGGAGGCACTGCAGAGCTTGAATGGGGAGGGGAGTATGGCAGGAGGCCCTGTGCAGAGTTCAGCCACTCCCAGTCTCCCCAAGGCTTTGCTGACCACTGAGACTGGACATATAGGGAGAGAGCAAGAGGACCTGCAGGACCCACCCCCCACACACAGGTTGGGGTGGGGGATGGTGGGGAGGGCACCGGGCTTGGGGTTGGAGCTGCATGTGTGTGTGTGCATGTGGCCCTGGATGGGGGGAGAACATCAATAAAAGGCGTGGCTTCAAACTGGACCTGACATGTGCGTGTGGGCAGGGTGGCTGGGACTGGGTGGGCAGGCTGGAATGTGCACATGCCATCACAGCACAGTTAAGGGTTAAGACATCCCAGGTGTTTGGGGGTCACGCCCAGTGTTCGAGGGACCATATGGTGGCCAGGGTTCAGACCCAGGATTCCCGCATGAACTCCAGTCTCTGAACCGGTGCCCTGGCCACGGTAAGGATCAAAATATTGCCCCCGCCCTGATGAGACTCTGCGAATATGCCCACACCCGGCCACTGTCTACTTAAGCTCCCACACGGCCATGACCCAGAGACACACAAACGAATCTCGGACCCGAGCAACTTGCTGCGGCGATCTCTCCAGACCCTAATTATTAAAACTTTACAATTCCTATTGTATCCGCGACAAGCTATACAAAGCACATTGTCTAACATCGCATTCTCGGCAGGTATAAGTGTTGGTGGGACTGGGCTCAAATATCGAAGGTAACCAAAGTAGAGAAAGAGAGTATTGTGCAAATTGTCTGCCACACAGGAGGGGTAGGTGTGGAATTGGGGCGGGGGAGAGGGGGTGGATACTGGGGACTTTGGTGGTGGAAAACATGCACTGGTGAAGGGATGGGTGTTTGATGATTGCATGATTGAAGCTCAAACATGAAAGCTCTGTTACTATACCTCATGGTGAATCAATAAAAACGGGGGTGGAGTGGGTGGGAAAGAATCAAAATTATTCGCCTTCCAGAGGTAAAATCCCCAGTACCCAGGTTCTCTTCGGCAGAAGCTCTTCCTGCTCGAGGTTCACCCCACAACTGAGCAATTAAAAGGCGATGCCTGTGTGAGGAGCCCCCTGGGACCCCCAATCGGTCAGGGCTGGGGTGTGAGTGAACCCTCAGCCTGTCAGTGGCGCATCTCCAGGTGGGGGTCTCAGCGTGGGTCTCGGGGTCAGCGGGGCTGGAGGGGTGGAGAGAGCTCAGCTGGCGAGTCGGGCTAGGGGACCCTCCGGGCAGAGGGATCAGCCTCGAGCCTGGGAGCATCATGGATGGGACACCTCAGCGGAAGGAGGTCAGGCTGAGGGCTGGGACCTCAGTCAGCAGTGGGTGCCCGGCCAAGGTCCAGAGGGAAGGCAACAGGTAACAGGGCAGCCCGGAAGGCCCCGGAGGCCAGATCAGAGCTGGAGCTCAGATAGGGGGGCTCATCCCTGGCTGGCACCAGATAATCTCATCATCGGCCACCATCCGGATCACACGCCCTTCTCTCCCGGAAGGGAGCAACATGACGTTCGCCGTTAACCATGCTGCCAGACCCCCACACCAGGCTGTTTCACTCGGGGTGTCCCAGAGGGGGGCGGGTGAGACCCCTCCCCACCCCAAAGGACCCAGCCCCGGCACATGAAAACCTCCAGAACTCAACCGCCACCCTGCTCACAGTCGCTCTCCATATGCTCGGGCCGAGCCTCACCCACAAGTGGGCCTTTCCCTGAACACTTCACGGGATACACCCTACCCATAGCCCAAAAGTACTGCACCACATTTGATGGGATTCACAGTAGAAGGCAACCAACCTTAGAGGGAAATATTATACTATTTCGGCTCTACTTTGGGATAGGGATTGGGGTTCAGGATGGAAACACCCGAAATATGGTGGTGGGAAGATGTAATCGTGGTGAGATTGGTGTCTGAATATTAAACGTAATCAAATATTGTGAACTACTTTATAAAATAAAAAAAATTTAAAAAGGGGAGGCTCAGCAGGTAGACTGGGGGGGGGGCCCCATCAGGACACTGTGATCTAAGTGTGATGTCCCTGTGACCTGGGCGGATGAGTGGGTGGGAGGGGGAGTGGGCGGCAGGGCCACTGCGTACACAGGCAGCATGACTAGTGGGGTAGAGAGGGTCCAAGGTGGGATGAGGTGATCAAGGTGACCCCCAAAGAAGAGGCCCCCTGGAAACCCGCCCCGGGATGGGCAGATAGCTCAGCCGCTGCGTGGTCAATTGTCACCAAGCCATCTGCATGCTGATCATGCACCCAGGGTCAGACAGGGCCCAACCCTTGGCTCCTGGTGCCTAGCAGTGCCATCTGCAAAGTGGGCACTTGGCTTCGGCCCAAGCCAACATGACAGGAACTGCCACACTCAAGGATTCAGGGAACCAGGGGAACTTGGGGGAGAGGGTCCCAGGCAACCCAGAACTCGGTGCTGCACCCAAACAAGGAGGCCAGTACCACCGGTCAGCAGCCACCCTGCACCCCGTCCTCGGGAACATGGTTGTCCCTGGGCGTCCATGCATTTGCTGTCCCCAAAGACCCTCCTTTCTGCGGCCCAAGTCTCTAACCGGCCTCCTTGGTCACCCCAGGATAAAAGGTGGGCAGAGAGGGCCAGTGAATCATGGTTGCTGACCCCCCCTGTGCTGCAGCAGAAAGTCCCACCTCATCCCCTATGGGCAAGACAGGAACTGGGGCGGGACGGGTCTGGGGGTGCCCTGCTTCTCCCTCTGCCGTGTCCTTCCCACTGCGGGCAGTGCTGCCCCCGCCCCCGGCATCGCCCTCAAACACCCCTGGTGCTGACTGTCTGCCAGGAGCGGCATTGCCTGACCTGGGGCAGTGCCCGGGGAATGGGGGTAGGATCCCCCCCTCCCCCCCCCCCCGTAGTTTCTGGGGTTCTTCAGTCTTTGTGAGGGAGATGGAGCCACAAATGGTCGGAGTCTGCCTCCCCCTTTAGATGGACCCTCACAGAAACGCCCTACCCCCGTGCAAGGGG